CCACAGCCACCACCTTTGTTACCAGATAATCTGCCTCAGCTGAACGAGGGACCATCTCAAAGAGGGCAGAGTCCTTGGTGTCTGGTGAAGGGGACAGGATCTGTGGGCTGTTGTCATTTTGATCCAGGATAAACACCTTGACTGTGACGTTGCTGCTGAGAGGGGGACTCCCGCCATCTTGGGCCTTCACTTGCAGCTGGAATTCCCTGAACTGCTCATAGTCAAAGGATCTCTGGGCGTAGATGATGCCGCTCTCAGAGTGAATGGAGATATAGTAGGAGATGGGAAGTTCTTCAATGTTGCTGGTGAGGATTGAATATGTGATGTGTGAGTTTTGGTCCACATCCGGATCAAAGGCTTGAATCTGGAAGATGGAGGCACCAGAAGGATTGTTCTCCCGCACATAGATGCTGTAGGAAGCTTTTTCAAAAGCAGGAGCATTGTCATTGATATCAGAGATCTGCAGCAAGATGGTTTTATTTGTGCTCAGTGGAGGGATTCCTTTGTCAATAGCTATGATTGTAATATTATATTTAGAAATTGTTTCTCTATCTAGAGGTCTGTCTGTCATGAGCTTGTAGTAATTATTAGAAAAAGACAGGATCTTGAAAGGAATATCATTTTCTAAATGACATGTAACTTTTCCATTATCATTAGCATCTTTGTCATTTGCACTTATTAAAGCAATTAATGTTTCAGGTGAAGTATCTTCAGAGAGTGAATTAAATAAGGAGACGAGGTTTATCTCTGGTGCATTATCATTCTCATCACATATTATTATTTCAATAATACTGTTTGCTTCTAAGCCACCGCCATCTTTTGCTACTACTGTTATTGTATATTCTGCAGTTTCCTCAAAGTCCAAGGGGGCCATAAGCATGATTTTTCCATTGCTTGGATTCAAATGAAATATGGGGTGGTTATTTCCAGGCATATTGCCAAAATGATATCTGATTTGGGCATTTGTCCCATCATCTTTATCAGAAGCAATAACCTGGAGCACAGGAGACCCTACTGGAAGATTCTCCTCCAATTTGACCTTATAGATTTCTTGAGTGAAAATGGGTGGGTTGTCATTGGCATCAGTAACATTAATCCATATATGGGCAGTCCCAGTTTTTCTTGGTTCACCCCCATCCATGGCTGTAAGGATCAAATGTAGATATGGTTCACTTTCACGATCCAATGGATTATTAATCACTAGTTCTGTATATTTATTTCCATCTTTTCTCTCTCCAGTCTCCAAATTACAACAAAGATTGGAGCTAAGCTCATAGTTTTGGAGGGCATTCTTTCCAATGTCAGGATCTTCAGCTTTTGCAAGGAGAAATCGAGTTCCAGATAAAGTGGTTTCACTTATTTCTAAGTTGAAGTTGTTGTCCAAGAAATATGGTGCATTATCATTAATGTCGTCAACTGACACAGTTATATGAAAAACATTCAAAGGATCTTCAACCACAACTTCAAAACTAAGAAGACAGAGTGGAGCCTTCCCACATATTACTTCTCGATCTATCCTTTCATTTACATAGAGGTTTCCATTCTCTGCATTGATGCTGAAGTAGTGTATTTTAGCAATAGACACTAGATGTAAATTATGTTTTTCCACTTCCCTTATGTTCAATCCCACATCCTTTGCAAGATTCCCCACAACAAAACCTTTTGCCATCTCTTCTGGTACTGAATAGCCAATGTGCTTTGAGACAGCCCAGTGGGAGAAACAGAATAGTGAGATAAACAGTACTTGCCTTGTGAATGCTTTGCCATTCTTTCTGTTCTTTGTGTCCATCTGTCTTCTTCAATAATAGGCTATAACCCCTTCCTCTTCTTCTTTTAAACTTACTGTCATTAGGTGAAAGAGTACTGAGAACAGATGAAACAAGGAAAATTGCCCTTTTTCTTGCACCACTTGAACCCGTTTTCCTTCAGTCTTCAAGTCAGCTCTGACTCTATATTTCTCAATTTTCCTAGACAGCATTGATAGAACTGCATATTGAGCATGAACTATTTTCAGCAGTCTGTGCTGGCCAACAGCGGCACTTTGAGGTTTAAACAGAGCATTGCAAGAACATTCATCTTCACCAATTTAAAGCTAAGGATTTAAAACATGTGTATGACTAAATGCTTCTATGTCCACAGCATGTGTTGCTCTGTAGTTTTCTTTCCTGCTTCACTCAGCTCTGCTTTTTAAAAAATATACATGTGCACAATTGATTTTGCAACTTTAAATGGAAATTGTATTTGTAGATACTTTCTCAGTAACAATTTACTACTTATTTAGTGATGTTGCATCTGTTAATATAGTACTGTGGTCAGCATGATTTCTGATTGATGGATTTTAAAATAAAGATTCTAAATTCAGTAAATGAAGGGATATAATGTATCCCATTTTCCACAATAGTATATACAGTACACGTCTTCAAAAATCCTCGCAAGCAGACCATGAATAAAATAATGGATATTATGAATAGTTATGAATTTTGTGTTGATAATACTTTTGGTATCCCCTGACACTACTGACAGTAATTTCCACTGAGCATTAATTAATCAATTAAAACAAAAAAAAATTTGCTTTCCCTTTCCCAAATCATGCCAGAGTCTTTATCATATTCAGATTAAGTCATCTTTTTTAGATAACTATTTCCAAATCTTTCTCTTCCAAATTGCTCCAGACTCTTGTTTTAATGTCATTTTCTACACAATTACAAAAGCTCTTATCTTTTCTCATATGGATATATCAGAATCGTAGAGTATTCCAAGTGAAGTGACTCTATAGACTATAGCAGCATTCTGATACTAGCAGTTTTATTTCAGTCCCTTTTCTGATAAGCACTTTGAAATTCATGATTCACTTCAGTTTGTTTGAGTTGGTGATAGATCACCCTGCCTCAATAAAATTCAAATATTGCTACACTTAATATTATTTATAGCAAGAACTTTCAAATATTTTCCTATTGTGTTTCTTATTTCAGAAATAGGCAGACCATGAGTTCTAGTCTCACCTTAAACACAAAGCCAGCTGGGTGGCCCTAGGACAGTCACTTTTTCTTAGCTGTACAAAGGAGACAATGGCAATTCACTTCTGAAAAATCCTGCCAAAAAACTGCAGGGACTTGTTTAGGTAGCATCCAAGAATTTGACAAATTGGAAGAAAATGAATGGAAGAAAAAAAATCACACACAGGGACATTCTTTTACTTAATGGCTGTTAAATTTATTTAATACCTTTTGAAGAACTTTAGGCAATGCTTCTAAAAGTCCAGGTTACCAAGTTATATTTATTTTACCAAAGCATATTACTTTTGAAAATAAAGATGTTAACACATTGCTAAGAAAATTATTTGTTTCATTTAAAAAAGGCACACAAAGTGGAGAGCAGAGAAATTTACTAAAAGGTAACAGGAAGGTAGAAAAGAGCTATATTATTGCTGAAGTTAACTTGAGGGTAAATCTGGAGGTGAAATCTAAAAGTATGGTTGCACAGATCTTGTCAGAAATCTATGAACTTACAGTGAAACTGCAGAGGAGGGTAATGTTCCTTCTTCAGGAATATCCATTGACTTAATGTGGGAATTTATGTAATCTGGGAAATGACATAATAGGAATGATGACAAATAGATACAAATGAGATCATTGCACAACTCATACAAATCACAAATGAAACTAGGTGTCAGATCCCTAAAATGATACTGCCATTCAATTGGGAGGAGGAGAGCCTCGGAGTTAAACCATTAGCTATATCTGAAACAACTGAGTTTTACAACTTTACAACTGGTTTCCTGTCACTGGGAGACTGAAGGTCCCAACATTTCTGGAGGGATGTTTATGGTATATAACTTTGATGTCTAAATAGAGATAGCCATGAGAACATGTGCTTTATTGACTCCCAGGGCAGAAGAGTTAAGG